GATCCGGCCCCTGCAGCCTAACAGAAGAGTGGCAGCTGAGCCCGCAACGATTCACTTGGGTCTCTACTTCTCCGAAGACATCGTCTCCCGCAGGCCTGGCTCCTCCACATGAGAGTGGCACAGCTTTGCGTGGCCTATGAGCACACCAGCCACGGAGCCAGACCCCCATCCCTTTTGCATGCTGCCTCCTGCCAAACAGGAAGGAGCAGTCTCTTCAGGAACACCAAATCGGAGATGCGCCTCGCAGAGAGAGAGAGAGAGAGAGAGAGAGCAGGAGAGAAAAGCCCCTGGGTGTGGGAAATCATAGAATCATAGAATAATAGGACTGGAAGGGACCTCAAGAGGTCATCGAGTCCAGCCCCCCGCCCTCAAGGCAGGAGCAAGCTCCGTCTACACCATCCCTGCCAGATGTCTATCTAACCTGTTCTTAACTATCTCCAGAGAGGGAGATTCCACCACCTCCCTTGGCAATTTATTCCAATATTTGACCACCCTGACAGTTAGGATTTTTTTCCTAATGTCCAATCTAAGCCTCCCCTGCTGCACTTTAAGCCCATTACTCCTTGTCCTGTCCTCAGAAACCAAGAGGAACAAATTTTCTCCTTCCTCCTTGTGACACCCTTTTAGATATTTGAAAACCGCTATCATTTCCCCCCCCAATCTTCTTTTTTCCAAACTAAACAAGCCCAGTTCATGAAGCCTGGCTTCATAGGTCATGTTCTCTAGACCTTTAATCATTCTTGTCGCTCTTCTCTGTACCCTTTCCAATTTCTCCACATCTTTCTTGAAATGTGGCGCCCAGAACTGGACACAGTACTCCAGCTGAGGCCTAACTAGCGCAGAGTAGAGCGGCAGAATGACTTCACGAGTTTTGCTTACAACACACCTGTTGATACAGCCTAGAATCATATTTGCTTTTTTTGCAACAGCATCACACTGTTGACTCATATTCAACTTGTGGTCCACTATGACCCCTAGATCCCTTTCCGCCATGCTCCTTCCTAGACAGTCGCTTCCCATCTTGTATGTATGGAACTGATTGTTCCTTCCTAAGTGGAGCACTTTGCATTTCTCTTTATTAAACCTCATCCTGTTTACCTCTGACCATTTCTCTAACTTGCTAAGGTCATTTTGAATTATGTCCCTATCCTCCAAAGAAGTCGCAACCCCACCCAGCTTGGTATCATCTGCAAACTTAATAAGCGTAACCAACCAGTGGTCTGGTGGCACTTTATAGCCTAACGAAACACGTCAATGGGAGCGTGAGCTTCCGTGGGCACTGCCCGTGATCCCATCGACGTGTTCGTTGGTTTATGAAGTGCCACCAGACCATTGGTTGTTTTTATTTTCTTTCCTAAAGACGCCCTCTGCCAGAGTTCTGAGAGCGAGCCGCTAGGACGCTGGAGCAGCGACCAGCATTAAGGATCACACGAGCCCGCAGAACGGGGGGGTTTGTGCAATGCACTAAGCAGTGGAGAAGGACAATTCACAAGTAGGTGCAAAGTACAAATGTGTGGAATGAGGCACAGAGACCAAGCACAGACAAGATTGGTCACTCTGGGGGACATTCAATCTCCTATACTAAAAAGTCTACAAGCATCTCCGCACTGTGGGACGGGCTGTCCTCCCCTGTGCCATCACACCCAGCTCTGTCCTTGTCAAGTCTGGGCCAGGGCTGACCCCTCCCGGCTGCGGCCTCAGCATGCTCTGTCCCTAAGGCAGCGGAAAAGCAGAAGTTCTGTGGCTTCACTCGGGGCTAATCAGGCCTTATTCTCCAGCATACAGGAACTTCTTCACCTGGAAGCCCCTGACTAGGATTCCACTGGGCTCTGGCCCCGGCCTTCGTTTGGGGCAGCCAGAAACCTCCTCCATCCCTTGCTGTTACCTCTGTAGCGTCCCCAGCTCCTTTGTCCTACTCCTCCCGCTTGGCAGCTTTTCACGAGCCTGCTGGAGAACCCCTCCCGCGCCCTCCCCCACGCTACAAAATGAAGTTGACCCTACGCGACACCAGCATACAGCTGGCGCAGTAATTACACTTCTGCACATCTGGACCGCACTCGTGCCGCCTCAGTACCCGCACGGACGCAGAGAGCAGACACCCTGGCTAGCTGTCCCGTCAGGAAGCCTGCAGCACCAGCGCAGGTGGCTTGGGAAGGGTTTCCAGTGCCTCATGGGGTAACTGTCAGGCAGAAGCAACTGAGAATACTCTGCTCATGTCCCACAATGGAGTTTTCTCCATCCTGTGAGGTTTCATGCCTTTTC